CAAGTCATGTCTGTCTACAACCTTCTGCCTCATGTATCAAGTCATGTCTGTCTACAACCTTCTGTCTCATGTATCAAGTCATGTCTGTCTACAGCGTTCTGTCCCATGTAACAAGTCATGTTTGTCTGTCTACAACCTTCTGTCTCATGTATCAAGTCATGTCTATCTACAACCTTCTGTCTCATGTATCAAGTCATGTCTGTCTACAACCTTCTGTCTCATGTATCAAGTCATGTCTATCTACAACCTTCTGCCTCATGTATAGAGTGATGTCTGGTTACAACCCTTATCATGTCTCACTACGGCCTTGTGTATCGTATGTCAACCTCAGTAGAGTGACCATAAAAAAAATATCTTGGGACCATGAAAAGTGAGATCTTTGCGTATTGGCCTGTGCTAGACCGGTCTTGGCTTGTGTATGTTATTCTGTGGGTTAAAAAAGTGCAGAGCCATTTTCACCACACTAGGGCATCGGGAATACCGTTGTTGCTGTTGTTTTGATGAAAAGAGTGACATATAACAATATCGGATCCTATTTCACACTGATAGTTTGGTAGTCTTAGTTTCAGAGCACAGTAAACGGGAAAACCCCATCTTTGCTACGCTCCTGTCTATCTATTCTATCTATTGTCTTCTTCACTTTTACAGGGTTGCAGCCCAGTGTCGTGGTTTAAAATAGTTGTTTTGTGCCTCTCGCGTGATTTGAGTGACAGTTTTCTGGATCTTCTGGCCGTATTCAGCTACTCCATCTATCCATTTTTTCCTGGGTCTTCCTCTGGCCTTTCTTCCCGATGTTCTATTGTAAAAGGCCTTATAGGCAATCTGATCCGGTTGCAATCTTACTAAATGACCAAACCACTTCATTCTCTGTTTTTCAATATGTTCCATGCATGCTCTTGTTCCAACTTTGTCTCTAATGCTGACGTTTGTGACTCTGTCTCTTCGTGTATTGTTGGTGACTCTTCGGAGACATCGCATTTCACACGTAGTTATTTTTTGCATATGTGATTTGTTCATTGTCCACGTTTGGCACTGATAACATAACGTAGGAATGAAAATGCTATTGATCATCCGTTGTTTGGCTGGTAACGAGATCTTTGGATGACGAAGAAGTGGGGCCAGTTGGTAGTTGACTGCATTGGCTTTTTGAACTCTAGCCTGTATCTCTTTATCGAGTCTTCCATCTTCTGTAAATATGTATCCTAAGTACTTGAATTCTTGAACTTGTTCTAATTGTATGTCATTGATCTTTATGCTTACATTACTGTGTTTCTTTCCTATGGTCATTACTTCAGTTTTTGAGGTGTTTATTTTCATGTCAAATTTTGTACAGTTAGTGAGCAATGAATCAGCATGTTGTTGTAGTTTTTGTTCTTCTTCTTGTAACAAACATTGGTCATCTGCAAAGATATGTTCATTTATAATATCTGTGTTTTGGTTTGACTCCTGTGCAATTTTATCCGTATATGTGATGAAGAGTAGGGGTGATAGGACACATCCTTGTCTTACTCCTGATGTAATGGGGAACCAGTCTGTCATACCTTCCATTGTTCTTACAGCGCTCTGGCTATTTTGATAGAGAGCCATTATGTTTCCCAATGATTGACCCGGTACACCATATTCTTCAAGAATGTTCCATAGTTTATTTCTGTTAAACCTGTCAAAAGCCTTCTCTTGATCAATGAATATAAGATTCTGGTGTTTATTATATTCGATTGTCTGTTCACAAATCTGCCTAAGAGTAAATATTGCATCAGTGCAGCTCTTACCTTTTCTAAATCCAAACTGGTTGTTACTTAATTGAGGTTCTAATATCACTCTAGCTCTTCGTTCTAATATTTTTGCAAATATCTTTCCTACATGGCTTTGTAAAGAGATACCTCTGTATGTTTCACAATCTCGTTTATCACCTTTCTTCTTCCATATGGGAACTATAATTGCTCTCTGCCAGTCAACGGGAACTTTCATTTCCTCCCAGGCCATATTGAATATTCTTGTCAGCCATTTTACTGCTGTTGCCTTACATGCAAGTATTATGTCTGTTGTAATACCATCTGTTCCGGCCGCTTTGTTTCTTTTGCTTTGCTCTAGGATCTTTTCAACTTCAGATTCTAATATATTAGGTTCTTGTTCTTGTCCAAATTTTATTTTATTAGACACTGGTTTTTGTGGTCCACTATTCAGTAATGCAGAAAAATATTCTTGCCATCTTCTTTTACCATCTTGGGATTTGGTGAGTGGTTTTTTAGCCTTGCTGTTTATGATCTTTGATGGGTTAAATTTCTCTTCTCTCAGTCTCATAGCCTTGATGCTTCGGTAGAACTGACCTGGTGAATCAGTGCATAGCCTTGCTAATTGTTCTCCGTAGTTTGCCCATGATTCTGATTTCGCCGAATTTACTTTCCTCTTGCTCTTTGCTCTTGCTTTTCTATATTTGATGTAGTCCTCATCTAATTTGGACTTTTGCCACTGATGAAAATATTTCTTCTTTTCTTTGATAGAAATTTTAACTTCTTCATTCCACCATGCTGTTTGTTTCATGTGCCTTCTTTGGCTTTTCGGAGTCCGCTCTTTTCTGTCATTACATTCAGGATGCAGGTTTTAAAAAATTTGCCACTCTTCTTCTATGTCATTTCCTTTCTCTAGAGTACTGAAGGTTTTTTAACTGTTTCCTCAACTTGAATTGCCACATCTTTGTCTTTTAGTTTCTCTATGGCTATCTGATCCATTAGCTGTGGTGTTTTATCAGTGCAAATTCTTGTTGGTTTATAGAGCCAAAGTACTACAGGTCTATGGTCAGTCTATTATTGCATTTGGGATGGCCCTGGAGTTCTTTATTCTCCATCTGTCGCTCTTTTTTGTGAGAATAAAATCTATCTGTGATGCTTGGTTAATATTATTCCATTTATACCAGGTCAGTATCTTGCTTCTCTTATGTTGGTATAGCGTGTTGCTGATAATTAATAACACACAGAATATTTATCACAGTCCCTTGTGGAAGGACTGACAGGCTGCTGTCTCAGCAAATCTAGCATACACACACATTAAAACATTCGGTAGCCATCCTAAAGCATACGGTAGCCATCCTAAAGGATACGGTAGCCATCCTAAGTGCTATCACAAACTGTTGTAGAAATGCAGTTCGTCACTGATGGTAGCAGAAGTCACCAACAGATCAGCAGTTGCCCACGCGATCAAGTTTAATCACACACGGGCACCACCAACATTGCGACGACAGACTTCGCGCCATTTTCTGAATCTACAATTCACACCAACACGTTGGTCACAGTCGAGAAAATATTCCAGTTTAAATCCTCTATTTACAGTGTCACGCCATGCATTCAACTCAGAAGCTGGGCGACGAAACTATATCCAGTCTACAAATGGAGAAAAAATGTATCGGCCACCGTCCGGCAGAAGCAAAAATTTTGCCTCGGCTCCAAACAGTGCCCCTGCCTAGCGTCCATTTTAACCGGAAGTTATACTGTCCCATTTAACCCTGCTGATGGTTTTACTTATGCCAGGTTTAACTGAAATAACTGTTTGTTGATCCAGTGTAGGGGGAAAACAAGAATAGACACACTGCCCCCCCCCCCCGACCCCCCTCCAACCTTAACAAGCATGTCCGAAGAGCCGACCTATTAGGGGTCTTTCCGTGAAGTCGGAGTGCATCTGCCCGAGAGGCAAGGCATGAATAGACAAGATACGAATAAACCATATCTTTAGAGCTAAGGGTCACAGAGGAAGGTCTTGGAGGGCGCAAGCTGAAGACACAATCAGACATGTGCGCAGGCTTGATAAATTTGCGCAAAGTGTGTGGAGTGGGTCATAGTGTCCGAGCTGGTTTCAGACTTATGTAGGGTTCTTATCACTTTGGGTCGTGAGTGCAGGGACTGGCCAGCTGGTACTGCAGAATCAGAAGTTCAACAAATGATTCATGACAATTCTCGCCCAAGGGATGTGATTATCTATACAGATGGCTCGGTTTTGAGGGGCAGATGAAGTGCGCGGGGGTTCATGGCAAAAGCGAATGGACGTCGCTTAGTGCAACAAAGCCAGTCATGATATCACAACGTTTAGTTTTAGAATGGATATGGAGGTGGAGGCAGTCACTGCTGCATTCCACTGGCTTGAGAATCAGCTATACGCACATGTCGTTATTGTAAGTGACTCACACAGCAAGTTCAGAAAGGTGGAGGCAGGTATGCTCCGTGCAGAGTGGCAAGTACCACTCCAGAGGTCTAGGGTAGTTAGTATCCTTTGGATATTCTTTCCAGGTGATGCCGGTGTGTTGGGAAATGAACAGACAGTAGACTGGGCGGTTCTGCACCATTTGGTGGCGCACTGACATATGACAAGCTAGATGTTGTGATGGTCCTCCTCTGGGAGCGGGTGAACAGTGCGGAAGCGTAAATAGATCATTGGTGTCTGGGGAAAATGGCGCTGCGAGAAGTTACCAGGGGATCTGGCCGATGTTCAACACTTAAGGGAAAGGCGAGACGTATATACATATAATCAGACAGTTACTGGTACCATCGGAATTGGAACTCTTCGTTTACTGCTGAAGATGGGGACATAGCGCTTATGGGAGTGTCCCGAGTGCTATGCTTTCGATTCTGAATTCATCATTCAGCATTCAACATTATTTTAAAGCGTATGTGCACTCAAAACTGAAGTTCTGCAATAAGACTAGAGTTCAGATGTGGACGAACACACAGACAGCGGGTGAACGTGAAGAAGTATAATTGTTTTTTGTGGGTTTATGTGGGTGTGGGTGTCTGCGCGTGCGTGCATGCGTGCGCGCGTGTGTGTGTGTATGTGTGTGTGAATATTTGTGACTTCTTGTCCCTAAATTGACCTGTGCCGACGCCCTTGGTACACACAACCATGCAGCTGTCCAAAGCAATGTCTTACCGGCCAATACTCCAGTTGTAATAGAAATGTTTCTCCATATCTTACTGTAAATTTCAGATCCGGGCACAGACATACAGACTCTGAACATGGCTGACTGTACTCCTCGGACTGCGTCAGTGCTTGTTATCTTAACTTTGATAAACTCGGCAAACAGTCAGTGGAATTTTACAGTAATCGATAGCGGTCTGTTGTACAGGTAAGCGACGAGTTTGGACTATTTTTTTTTTTTTTAAATTTACAGTAAAGAATGACTGAATCAAGATCATATCTTTATTGGCCATAAGGGCATTACACCGTATAAATATCCTATTCTGGGATTTGTAATATGTGATGTCATCAGTGAAAAAGAAACCAGTGACCACAGCTGGATTTAAGGATAAGCTAAATAAACTACAGATCTGAGCCTCACAATCTGCAGGGGCCTAAAAAATGTCCACCTTTTTCGCAAATGCCATTCCTTTTGACAATAGTTTTAATGTAGCTTATAGGAATATATTTTAAGAGGAATTTATATATACTTTCGATACAATTGTCTCATAATCTATTTTTTAAGAATTTACCCAGAATTCTCTAACTTTTTTAATTATTATTTTGGGTATACTATCTCAGGCTTGTATTTATTCTAACATGTTGAGATTTAAGGTTGTCATTTAAAATGGTACGGCCTAGGGCAGCGTCAAGTCTTAATCTGGCTCTATCAACGAGAGAAAGGGGGAGAGACAGGGAAGCAAGCTAACGAACGAACGAACGAACTTGATAATTTGGCACACAAGCCCGTCCTACATTCTGCCCTTCTGGCCCCATTGATTGGTTTGATTCAAGAACCGACATCACAGCACTAGGGGCATTCACATAAGCGCTCCGTCCCCATCTTCAGCAGCCAGCGAAGAGTTCTGATACTAATGGTGCCAGTAGCACATTCTGATTAAACGTCTGCCTTGCCTTTCCTCCGAGCCTCGAGCATCTGCCATAACCTCTTGTCACTGCCCCGTGTATCAATCTCACCAGACTGGTGATCCATCTGCACCTCCGAACTGTACACGCTCTCTCACAAATCACTAACCAACTCTGCCTTATCATGTATCAGTATTCTACCAAGTTGTGCAGAGCCAGCCAGTCTGTCCGTCTGTTCATTTCCCAACACACCGGCGGTCCCCGGTGAAAAAAAATCCAGACAATACTCCTCGTCAGTGTTTCTGGCCTTACTTCGTGCATTCATTATTCCATTTATACATCGTTTTAGCAGAAAAAATAATAATAAAAATAACAGACACCATTAACATGTTAGCTACATGCATTTTAAACCTGTTATAATACTAAGTATACTAAATCTTGTTGGAAACCAACTATATATGTAGAGAGAATCAGAAGAAGAAGAGGAATAAGAGGAAGAAGAAGAAGAAGAAGAAGAAGAAGAAGAAGAAGAAGAAGAAGAAGAAGAAGAAGAAGAAGAAGAAGAAGAAGAAGAAGAAGAAGAAGAAGAAGAAGAAGAAGAAGAAGAAGAAGAAGAAGAAGAAGAAGAGAGAGAGAGAGAGAGAGAGAGAGAGAGAGAGAGAGAGAGAGAGAGAGAGAGAGAGAGAGAGAGAGAGAGATCAAAATATGTTTTACAGCACGAGAGATAAAGTAATATCTATAGCAGAGTCAAACGGTGTGTCGCGACATTTGTGTGTGTCACAATGGAAAGCACGCTTCAGGGGTCTCTGATTGGTAGCACACTTTGGCTTTTTTCTTCAGCGCGGCCAGCGTGTTGGAAAATAAACAAGTAGATAGACCGGCTGGTTCTGCACCAATTGGTAGTGAACTGATGCGTGACAAGCTATATATTGCCAGGGTTCTTAGGGGAGAGTGACCAGTGCGGAGACTCGAACAGTTCATCTACGTTCTTGGAGAATGGTGCTGCGAGAAGTTACTAGGGGCTCTGGCCGACACTTGACACTTAATGGAAAAGCAAGACAGATATACAGTCAGTTTGTGACTGGTACCATCGGTATTGGAAGTTCGCGTTTGCTGCCGAAGATGGGGACGGAGCGCTTATACGAATGTCCTGAGCACTGTGATGTCGATTCTTAATTCAACATTCGACATTCAACATTAGTGTGTCCACTAGAGTTTAAAGGTGTGTCAGGCGAACGTAATCTATGTGTGTGTCGGTATCTCTTATAAGAGGTAAGTTTAACCTCTGGTATGCTTGTTGACTGAATAACTGTGTCCCGAAATTACGTTTGTCTAGTTGCTGCTATCGTTTCGTCCTTTTTAGGATGACATTTTTTGCTATTTGAAGCCCCACCCTGGCTTCTGCTAGGGGCCGCAATATAGGCATGCCATAAATATGGCCAATTGTCTGAACGCGGTTTCCGGGACCTCTCCACGGCGATCCTCATCCACTTTGGTGGCACACAAGCGGGTGTTTATCGCTTGTGTGATGTCCTAGTCGGGTAGAAAGTCGGCTCTCCTGTCAACTACGGCCGGTAGACAACAGAAGACGGCCGGTTAGTCGGAGTTCTGTCCCCTGGCTGCAGTGCAATTACGGACTGGAGAAGGCACAATTCAAAAAACAAAGTGAGGTTGACATGTCTGGCAGAACCCGCGCTGCGACTCAAATTAGCGACCGCGTTCAATTACCGCTTCTTGCGACGCATTACGGAGTGGATTAGAGGGAAGAAAACAAGTGACATAATTACTATGTGTTGGCGATAGACAGCGTGCAGTACCCTACTGTCATCATACGGTTAGGGTTTGAGTTAGGGTTTGGGTTAGGGGTAGGGTTTGGGTTAGGTTTAGGGTTAGGGTTAGGGTTTGGGTTGCTGGGTTAGGGTTAGGCTTAGGGTTAGGCTTAGGGTTAGGGTTTTAGGGTTAGGGTTAGGGTTTGGGTTGCTACGTTGAGTTTCTGCGAAGACGAGATGCGGCCTCACTAACCGTAACGCTAACCCAAACCCTAACTCTAACCTTAACCCTATACCTAATCTAAACCCTACCCCTAACCCTAACCCAAACCCTAACCCAAACCCTAACCCAAACCCTAACCGTATGATGACAGCAAGTCACTGCACGCTGTCTATCGCCAACACACAGTAATTATGTCATTTGTTTCGTTCCCTCTTTTCCACTCCGTAATAACACTGTAGCCAGGGGACAGAACTCCGACTAACCGGCCGTCAACTGTTGTCTACCGGCCGTAGTTGATAGGAGTGCCGAAAGTCAGTCAGTCGGACGTTTGTCTAAAAAGTGTGTCACGAACTTGAAAAGCTTGTAAAGTGAGAGAGGTCGATAATGACACATTTAAATATTCAGGGCTGTTTTTCCAGCCCTGTGAAACGGTACATAATCCCGTCAAATCATTGTTTTTGTTTTCCACCAGTGCTACCGAAATAAAACTTTGGTGAGTACTGAAACAGTTTGTATGTCATGTACATATCTTCATCCTCGCAGCGTTTACCAGGTTATAAACTCCGGCGGAAAGTTCTGGTGGTTCGTCCACTTCTGAACTTGTTCAAGAACTTGTGTTTTACTTATTCGTTTTTCAGATATAGCTTATTTGTTTTCCAGACTGTTGGTTCATCGCGCCTCAGGCGGATAAACTTTGACCTGTAAGGAAATACACATAAATAGTCGCCTCTTACGATAATGGGGGAGTTTCATATGAACTAACACCAGGAGCACTATCTAAGTTCGTTTAACCAGCTGCGCGGCGACTGGATCCTTGTGGTTCGAGTTCACCCTCGGGGGTTGGAAGAAAAGCCACATATTTCCCAAATTTACGGTATCTATCATGGAATCAAGGCCGAAGGGTTGCGATATCCACAGTACCTACCTAAAGAGTTTATCACTCATGGTTTCTGGATAATTTATATATATAAATACATGGATGTTTCTGGGAGGCTGAGATGACTGATTTAAGAATCGACATCATAGCACACCGGGTATATACATAGATGCTTCGTCTCCCGCAGCAAATGACGTAAGGTGTAGATGCTAACTGCTTCTGTAGTACACTGATTAGACACACGCCGATCTCTTCCTCTCATCCGTCCCTTGTTGCCGCATCCACAAGTAATTTCTCGTTCACACATTCTTGCCCATGTTATTTAATCTAATCTCGTGTCTTCTGCCAAAAGTTATTCATATATGGTCTTCAGAATATCTCCCTTGTCCAGTACAAGTGTTCCCGTAGCTTTCACTTTTATAGCCAGAAAATCCGCTCCTTTAATCCCTCGCACTCCTACATATTTCGGACAGTATATCCACGTGATTCCTTGCAATGTTGGCGTACTGATGCATGGTATCCACTCATGTAAGAATATTCGATTTTGAACCTTCCGCAATGCCGACTGAGAATCAGACATTAATTCCTCTGGTTATTGTTTTCTGCTAACCACTTCAGTGTTGAAGTGATTGCCTCTACTTTCATTCTCATGCCTGCAGTTTTAGATTTAAAAAAACAACTCCGTTTTGTTCTGCCACATTTTTTTCCTTTTATTCTAGCTGAAAATCCCCAGCCAGATCTTACACTCCGATGAACCATCGGTGTACACTACTGCATCATCTAATCCAGCCTCTCCATCTATCAGTTGTTGTACCTCTAATTCTGCCATACCGTTACACCACTCTCTACATTCTCGTCCTATCATGTTAATGACCTGATAAAACTGTTCTTGTGGGTTTTCGTGTCGATCCATTCCTGTCCCCTGTGTATTTGCTTGACTGAGGCCGCCGTTTCGATGGTATCTTCAGCTAGTGCCATCCATGATTGTCCTCTTTTCAACTGGTCTTTTCTTAAATCGTTCAAATTACCATGTAGCGGAAACCTTTCATCATTGTTAACTCGCATATAGGGATTGGCTTGCGTCAGTGACAGTCGAGACTGTACCGATGTGAGCACAAGCATATACTTCATTGATCTAACTTGGGTAACTCATGTGCAACCCAAGACGATTCTCATTCCTTCATTTTGAATCCTTTCAAGCTTGGTACACTGTGAAATAGATAGAGTTAATATTCCCAGGCCATAATCGATTACAGAAAGGAACAAATGGTTGAACATTAAGACCAATAATCGCTGATCCATGTCTGGAAGACTGGGAACGAAAAGAGAGTGGCTGAAACAAATAGTACAGACACAAGGGAGAATCGTTGGCTTTAAAAAAAAATATTGTTATATAAAAACCCGGCTCACAGAAGCCAGGTTCGGGTCTCATGCATGAGGTATCTGAGGAAAGTGGTTCGAGTGACAAGAAGGGTCAAAGTTCACCACCAGACAGTAGGTCATGATCTTAAAACCCAGGCCCTACAAACTCGAGTGGATCAGCCCCAGTTATGATAGTTCTGATATGTATGCAGAAAAGCATGCGGATCGGAAGGTCGTGGGTTCGGGTTCTGGCGAAGCCGAATTTGTTTTCTTCTTCAAAAACGACCTTGGCTTCCAGGTCGAGCCAGCTTTAAATGGGTACAAGGTACAGCCCTGGGAAGTAAAGGCGGCAGGCACGATGTTGACCGCATCACATACAGAGTGTCTATTGGTCTATAAAATATAGGTCTAGCCTTATACGCCCAATACGCAGGAAGGCGTGGACAAGTGACGTAACTTTCACATCTGACAGTTATAGTATCACACTCACCTGGAGGTCTCTCTGGCCAAGTGGCTATCCTGTTTGCCTCTCGCCATGAACGTTGTGAGTTAATTTCCCCGACCGCATCGTTCGATATATTACGGAGGATTATCGCTGGAGCTACGGGGTTCGTGCTATGTGCGACGCTGTCACTAGAAGGCTAGTCGTTTTACAGAGAAAGACCGCGTCGTATGACATAAAGAAAAACCCGCGCAATGATGTCCATCCGGTCGTCTTTAACTTGAAGATATGATTGATGGTACCGCACTTTAAAGTAACCGGTAAAGTGAAGGTCCCTTTACTTATCAATGGCGCATCTGGCCTGTGAGTCTATAGACTCGATTGTTTGTCTTTTAACCAATGCGTCCTCTACGTGTGATTTGGTCAACATCACACCGGCCACCTTTACTTCCCAGCATCTGATATCGTACTGATTTACGGCTGGTCGAGCGGGGAGACAAGGACGCGTATGAAAATCATTCGACTCCAAGCGGACTTCACCGCACGACATTCGTATCCGCAGGTGAGTATATCCACAGTCTGGCCGCTGAACCACGGTGGTTCCCCACAGCAAGTTAGGTATTCCCAAGCGCTCTAAGCTTTAATATACAGCAACCATCTTCCAGTCGTTGATTTCATGAAAAGTTGGTTACATATACTAACTTGAACTGGAGTTAGGCATTCCCAAACGCTCTAAGCATTAATAAACAGCTACCATCTTTCAAAGTACTTCAAGTCGTTGATTTCATGAAAAGTTGATTATTTATACTAATTTGAACTGGAGTTAGACATTTCCTAGCGCTCTTAGCTCTAATATACAGCAACCATCTTCCAAAGTACTTCAAGTCGTTTGTTTTCATGAAAAGTTGGTTATATATACTAATTTGAACTGGAGTTAGACATTTTCAAGCGCTCTTAGCTCTAATATACAGCAACCATCTTCCAAAGAATTTCAGGTCGTTGTTTTCATGAAAGGTTGGTAATACATGCTAATTTGAACTGGAAATCGGCATAGACTTGCTTCACCGCTCTCTTGCATGTTTTATCTCTGCAGGTTTCACAACTGCACGTGTTCAGAACATACACTCTGCTCTGACAACAGTACACAAACGTCTACGACAGGACGACCGTCTCATACAGCTGCAGCCCAAGTACTCACCAACAGTACACATCCATCTACAATAGTGCCGCCATCAAATTCAAGTTCCCCACAAGTACCGACAAACAGTACGCGAATGACTGCAACAGCCCCACCATTAAATACAGCTGCAGGACAGGGAATTATTACAAGGTACTATTACTGTTTATTTCCCATATTGCCGTTAGCCCATCACTTGATGTTATCACCCTACCTGTATCGATGTCTATCCCTTGATAGCTTGCCGACAGTTTTATCCTCAAGTATAGTTTTCAAAGGAGAGCTACTGATTACTACGCTCGTACTTTTTTATCAACGTGTGTTTTATATTCCTAAATAAATCTCCTTTCATTTCCAATCACTCCATAACTTCTGTATTTGATTGTTTTTTGTTTCAATGAAATACGATCGATTCTTTTGTACATCCACAACTCCTAAACTTACTGCTTGTTTACTGTCCTGTTTTTGCGCAAAATACATTGTTTAGAGCCTACAAAACACACTAGGGGTGAGGGGAAAAAGGGTGGGGGCGGGGCCGACGGTGCCGTATATTCTGAAATGCTAAACGAAAAAAAATCTCAAAATACCAAGGATTAAAAAGAAGAAAAAACATCCATGATCTGAGAATCGAGGAGAACTGGCTCATAAACAGGATCCTGTCCAGTAAGCTGGGGTATTTTAGCCATGTTAAACATCAAAGTTGCATGGAGAGAGCTAGATGCTGGGTTGCGGTTTCTAGGAAACGAGACAAGAGATCAACATCTACAGAAGAGGATCCAAGACTTTTAATATGCTTTGGCTATACAAGTAAATATGGCTGGGCAATTGGCTGTAAAAAGAGGGACTGTCGGGTGTGCCTTGACGAAAGCGAGTTTCTGTAAAGTACCTTTCGATTGATGGTGATGATGAAATATAACGTCTAACAGTTGTTATTTCCATATATTCTTTGTCGTTATTAGTAAACAGTTGGCAACTACGTTGAAAGTTAAGTTATAAGAAATCATAAAGTAAGGACATTACCAAAAGCCAAAAAAGACAAAAATGCCAGTGTGAAATGCATTCAGATAGAACTTTCTTAAGCCAGTGAATCGATAGAACTATCTTGAAACATTCGTAACATATGTCGGAAGATGCACTGAAGAAATAAAAACAATAACTACAATGGCAAAATTGGCGTGTAGCAAGGTTAACAACATACTCAACAATAAGAGTGAGACAATGCACGGGAAAGTGCGATAAAGAACCCGTGTTGTTACTTGTATGTGAGATTGTCCTGTTTTGTCATTATGTGTCACATAGGGCTCGTAATCTCTTCCTCTGTGCTCGTAATCTCTTCCTCTGTTCCACACTATCATGTGCAATCACTTTGATATCATGGATGCAATCCAGTTCAGCAATTTTGGCCTCTGTAAATAAAATTCGCCTCAGGGTCTCTCTTGGACCTCCTAGTTTCCTCAGTCCTTCAATTTCCCATTTCAGTGCCTGTTTACTTACTTACTTAGTCGCCCCTCTTCTACCTTGAGTTGTAGAGGTTTGCCAGAGAGATCGCCGGCTTCTCTGTCAGCAGTACTCTTGTTGACGTTGTTCCATTCGAGTCCTTTGTCAGTCTGGGACTGTCGGATGTTGCCTTCCCAGTGGACTCTGGGTCGTCCTGGAGGTCTGGTTCCTTTGGTTTTTGGTGGTCAGACCAGCAAATGCAAACTTGATAGGATTCAGTGCCAAGCCCTGACTTCCATCATGGGCGCTGGCAAAGGGACATCGAGAGAGGCCATGGAGGTAGCACTAGGCATCACACCGCTTAACCTCAGAAGGAAACAACTAACTTATAGCTATTGGATGAAAGCGGCCAACGATGCCAGACACCCAGCTTCAGACGCTTTCCATCATAACATTACCCACCTAGGTGACAAACCGGTCAGAGACATACAGAGACCAGCAGCCTGGGACGCTGCACTAGAAATTAACGATGATGAGGACTTAGCCAGAACTCTAGAGGCAAGCGTTAGGTTTGTCCCTCAAATCCCTCCATGGAGACTAGAGCTGCCCAGGACAGACATGAGTCTGATTAAAATTATTAAAAAGAATACTGAAACATTTGAAGCCAAAGCAATAACAGAAGAATACATAGACCAGATCCGATCAGACAATCTGGTTGCGTACACTGACGGATCAAAGAATGAAGCAGGAGAAGTAGGAGCAGGAGTAATAATCCCACAGTGGAATATACAAAGAGAATATAAAATAACAGATCATGTGGCAGTATGCACAGCAGAACTAGTCGGCATAATGAAGGCACTAGAGATGGTAATTAATAAACCTCCAACTAAATTTACCATACTGACAGATTCATTGTCCTCGGTGCAGACGTTAAAAACACATAAAACTAACAGTAGACCAGATATTAAAGAGACAATCCTAAATCTAACAACTCAGCTCAAGAATAAAGGATGCCAAGTCACCATTGCATGGGTACCAGCACACAGAGGTGTAATTGGCAATGAAAAAGCTGACATAGCAGCCAAAAAGGGAGCAAAATGTGATGTTTTAATAGATGTAGGACTTGGAAAAACAGAAAGGACCAGCATAATCAAACGACATATAATTAAAATGTGGAAACTGCAATGGCAAAGGAGCAATAATGGCAGAGATGCCTACAATAACCTTAAAGAGCCCAGCCTTAACACACAGGTACGGGACAAACTGAAAATTCCAGCCAACAAACTTCTATGGAGAGCTAGATTAGGATGGCACCCAGAGAAATTTACATCTCCACTATGTCTGGACTGCTTTCAAGATAATACTCTAGAGCATTATATAATAAACTGCACTAAGTATAAATTGGAAAGGAAACCCATTGAGGAATTTTTTCTAAAACGCAAACAACAAATTACTGTAAACAAATGTTTAAATGTAGAAAGCAATAAAGACATCCAAAAACTGGTTAAACAATACCTTATTAAAACAAAACAAAACTAAAAAGACCAGATTAGGGATTTACTCAGTATAACAGAAGGAACTGATGAGATGATAACCCCGAACATCCTAGAGTCAGAGAGATAGTGTAAGTATAATGAGTGCATAGATGTGAACATGGACACATACACAAGGATGAGTGAGTGTAGTATGAGTGCATTTGTGTATAGGATGGATACATAAGACACAGTGTATGTAGGTGGATGGTACGGAATCATATGTGGACGGAACAGTGGGAATATAGTTGTGCGAAAGGTACAGATGAATGAGTACATGGATTTAAATGTATTACTGTATGCATGTATATGTGTGTATGAGTGTGCATGTGTGTATATATATGAGAGCGTGTATACTAATATATTTGTGAGTGTATGAATGACAGTGCAATCAAAGAAACCATAAACTGTGTTGCTGTATGTCTGTTCATTAATGAGAACAAATGGAATGAAGGGTGTAAGCAGCATGAACGTCATCAACGCACACAATCCACCAAAACATGATACGTCAGTACCGGACAGGTCACATACCAGTAACAGGACATAACTTAAAAGTGACACGACCAGACGAAATTACAGACAAAGCCACACAAAACACATAAGACATGGAAGAGTGAATATCACTACGTGTGGATGTACTCGTTTTTTTATGAATGTAAGTACTGGCATTGGTAAACGCATATGAAAGAGTTGGCGTGTGTACGTAATGTCAATTAGGTATGCACACACGTATAAGTATGAAAGGACGTACAAATATGTAGTGTTGTCTGCATGTATGAGTACTCGAGTGCATGTACGCATACACCTAGTTGGGTGCGTCCATATACTCCGGGGATTCATAAACAAAACCATCCCACTCCACAGCATGCATACAACATGCACATGACCGACAGAACTCATAACAAAATATTACTGACAGCAAATAGGGAATACAAGTGACTCGATAATGACAGGACTAGAACGCATAACCTCCAATACCACCCCATCACTGGGATGATAGCAAAGGTTGGTAACGTGATACACATAGTCCCGGCAAAAAGCCACGCTAGAATCCAGCAAGACGGCAACAACGAGAATTGACTGAATGGCCTCCCGCTCCCCTTCCCCCCACCTTCCCCTAACTCTTTCGGATGCACTATGAGTTTAACCCCCCAACCCATTCCCACAGAGAGCACTTGAGTTCGTTGCCCAACATACCACAACAATTCTTATCGCCGATCATTTGGATCTCAAAGCGTGAGCTGGACGGTCCGGTTATATGGTATTTACGTACACCGGAGCTTAGCTATCAACACAACCCGATCACATAATAACAAATGACGACTGGACCCGCTTAAGACTCCACACAAACTCTCACACACATATCCATTACACGACTAACCCGTTCATATTACAGGAAGACAACTATAAGACCACTATGGTCACACGCGAAAATTTTCACATCTCGGAACTATTCACATTCAAAAACTGTTTTCAGTACTTTTTGGCAAAATTAAAATACTCAAAATTTTAAAACAATAAATGGTGGCCGAAAGGTCGTTGTGTTTGGAAGCTCGCTCTCCTTCGAGATACGCCTAGCCAGATCAAAGGGAGACAGAACAAACAGGAAACACCAAGAATGAAGAAGGAAGACATGCACCAGTGACATCAGGACGAGCGGTTTGATTCGGATGGAAACATTAAGCCAGAAATGGCACAAACACCAGTATTCAGTCACGAAAGTGACGCAAATAACCCAGACCACAAATATAGGCGGAGACTGTTAGCAGCCTAGGCTAGCTAGCAGCAGTCTGAACGTGGTCGAGCTTTTATTTTTTTTCTCAAAAGGACTTGGACTTGGACCTCCCACTCTGCATGCATGTCCAAACCATTGTAACTGTGACAGATCTACTCAAGTTTGTTAAGCCTGGGTTCCAAAGTTATTACGTGTCATTTCAGTGCCTGATTTATAATTCTCTGTTTGTTTCTTCTTTTTTTTTTTTTTAGCTGAAATGCTATAGAAAGATTCTCAGAATATTTTGGACAAAGAAGATGAGAAATATATTGACATCTTAAAAGATCTGAACATCAAGGAAGATTGGCTAATAAACAGCATCCTTTCTCGAAAGCTGAAATATTTTGGTCATATCAAGCGCCTCGACGGATTGGAAAAAATTATAGCAGAAGGCATGGTACCAGGAAGAAGGGGCAGAGGCCGACCGACACGAAGATGGGCACAGGATATAAGTGACTCCTTGAGTGTGAAAGTTCATGAGGCGGGAGAACTGGCAAGAGACCGAGTTTCTTACAGGCAGACTGTGATGAGAGCGACGTTCTGCAAAGGACCTGCTACATGATGATGATGTTTGTTTCTTCTCAGAATTTCTCCAATATAGTGGCATCTTCTCTCTCTTATAGCTGTTGTTGCAAGTTGTTGTCCAGACATTTCTCAGAAAACATCATGTAGTAATAGAAAAAAGAAACGGGATCAGTGCTCAACGATAGGGAAGAAAACCGTAAACTGATTCGAGAAAATAAGACAGTCTTTGGTTCCGACACTGATAGGAAATGGATGACGGTTGAGAATTTGGCTTATGTTGACCGTTCTCGTTGCTGTTTCTCCTCCAGTTTCGATGTTGCAAGATAGTGGAAGTCCGGTTTGCAGCGGGAGACACTGGGTTCGGTGCTCCTGGCGGCACTATGAGCTGTGATTATCGGTTATTGACTGAGTTCCAGATTCGTACATAATGGCAAAGATGGGTGATGTATTTTTCTTTGTTGTGTTCCTGGGACAACGCGTGTGCTCTAGCTGCTGTTTATTTGCTGGCCGTGCTGTAACTTGGCCGAGAACATGTAGAGAATGGTCAGAAATAGTTTTAATCTACTCATCGCCCAGTTATTCGTCGAATGAAGTTGATTTTCAGCAATGACACCTGGTCTCGCAGTGTGTTTAGGAAGGCATGCACCTTATGCTTTGCCAGATCAAATCGTGTGTGTTTTGCTGACTGGGGGCGCTTTGTATGGCTACGGCATTCACTTGAAGTATCCAGCGTATCTGACTCCGTTTGTGACTGAAATCACTGGCATACGCAATTGATCAGTTATGGGCCAAGCTTGTTTTCTGTGATGCCTGAACAGAAGCGACTAACGACTAACGACTAACAAGACATAGTCTGTATTTTCGAACTTGTTATGACAAGAAATGAACTATAGAACTTGATGACAACAGGCAAGATTCATGGAAATGGGGTAAAGAAAAAGCAAAGAGATGAATACATGGATGGCCTGGTCACATGGACTGGGAGAGACACACACAAAATGAATGATCTGCTCCGCGATTCTGGTGTTTGTGTGAGACGGTGAAACATTCCTGCCCACGCTTATCGATGCGGCATATACTGTGGATGATCTTTGTAAATATTAACTCTTCTTTGTCAAAGTTTAGGGAGGTAAAATGTTTTGCTTCTTGCTCTTATGGTCACCTGGACCATAGATAATACATTGTGCTGTTGTAGAGTTTCTCTGATGTTGTCTTTCCATTGTGTTTGTTCCTGCTCCGTATTGTGCTCTATGCCAATAAATGGTAGGATTCCACAAGGAGTTCCCCGTTGGCAAACCAAGGGATGTGTTGTCTTTGTATATAATTATATAATTAGTTCTGTGCTGCTCTTTTCTCTTATTTCAAAATTTTCCAACTTGAAATAAAGCCCTCATTCATGTGTACGACATATTACTATCATCATTATCATACTTTTTGTGTCGTTAGACGTCACATGGGGCTTGCCTTCAATTCCTCCACCCCACTCTATTGCATGCAAATTGTTCGATTTCTGACAGCAAGTTCAGCCCAGCAATTTTCGCTTTTCGTAAAAATGTTCTTCCTAATGTTTCTGTGGACGCCCTCTTTTTTTTCCACAGACCGTTTTTCTTTTTTTTTTTTTTTTTTTCAGTGCCTTTTTAAATGCTTTGCTCATTTCGTCTCAGAGTGTGCCCACTAAATATCCACCTCCTTTGTCTTTTTGCAGCTGCTTTAGGTATTTGTCCAGACATTTTCTGTGATCTCATCACTCTTTTTGAATTCATCCGATTTTATGTTCGTGATTTTTCTTCTATTTTCGAGTGTGTTTAACTTCCGTTCGATATCTTTAATGGTTTTCCAACTTTCGCTGGCATATGTTAGACCTGAAATAACGTTAGAATTGAAGATCCGTAGTTTGGTCTTATAGCTCTATAACTTGGAGCTCCATATTTTGTTTTTATGATTGACACTTCTCTGTCTTTGCAGACGATTGTTTTATATAGCGCTATGAGGAGGCATGGTACTCCTAGTCCATGGAGATGGCGAGTGTGGCTAGCAAGAATAGCATGTGGCTAGCAAGAATAGCATGTGGCTAGCAGGATTAGCATGTGGCTAGCAGGAATAGCATGTGGCTAGCAAGAATAGCATGTGGCTAGCAAGAATAGCATGTGGCTAGCAGGAATAGCATGTGGCTAGGAAGAATAGCATGTGGCTAGGAAGAATAGCATGTGGCTAGCAGGAATAGCATGTGGCTAGGAAGAATAGCATGTGACTAGTAAGAATAGCATGTGGCTAGCAAGAATAGCATGTGGCTAGCAAGAATAGCATGTGGCTAGCAAGAATAGCATGTGGCTAGCAAGAATAGCATGTGGCTAGCAAGAATAGCATGTGGCTAGCAAGAATAGCATGTGGTTTCAGGACCGTTGTTGACAACATTTGTTTAAGTTTGTTTCCTTTCAGTCGCTCAGCTGTAACCCTTGCTGCAATCATTTGTTCCTTCATACTCATTCCCTTCCTGATGTGCACCCTGCACACAGCAAGGTCCATGGCTTTTTTTTCCCACATAAGTCCACTACCTCAATACCTGTATCATTCATGTCCAGCTTGCACACATCTTTATAATTCTGTTACTATACTGTTATATATACATATATGAATATTTAATGTTCAGCTTTCAGATTCACAACTGCTCGTGTGTAAATGAAACTCAGACATGTACAGGTGGTACAAACACGTCATCAACAAACAGATCTGATGTGTGGGCACAACATATTCACAACTCCACGTAAGTAAATAAGCCATAATGTTGCATCTATATACATGGCGTCCCAACAGATGTAGATCTACTTCCTGCAATTATAAATCTGTGGTTAATAAAAAACATTTCGCACCGACCAACTCAACATGCGTAAACGGGTTAGTCGTCATAGTATACTATTCTCTCTCCCTCTCTCCCTATATCGCTCCCTCTCTCTCTCCCTTTATCTCTCCATCTCTCCCCCTCTGTTTCTCTCACCCCTTCTGTCTCCCTTTCTCTCTCTCCCTCTGCCTCTCTTTGTCTTCCTCTCTTCCCCCTCACTCTCTCCACTTCTCAACTCTTTCAAAAAAATTCCCTTCGTTCGTTCTCTATCTCTTTCTCTGAGCTTCCTGGTCATAGTCTGCCCTTGGAGAGGGAGAGAGAGACGGAGAGAGAAAGAGAAAGGGAATTAGAGATGAGTAAAATTAAAAGACGCACAGAAACAACTGAACGTTTTCACGAAGTCTTTATCAGTGAATAAAACTCAAAAGACGACTTCTAAGTCACCAGCAACATTGGGCAGTCAGGTAGCGCCGCAATTAAGATGTTAATAAGAAAAATAGGAACAAGAATAACTGTTTTGAAACGAAACATACAGAAAGTAAAGGGAATAGTAAACAACAGGGCTGCGACTGAATGGTTCTGCACAACTGGCTGGAATACTGATGCGTGATAAGGCAGACGTGGTTTCAAGCCTTATGTGAGCAGGTGTACAATTCGGAGGAGCAAATGGGTTATCACAGTCTGGTGAGTGATGCAGCGAGGAGGAGCGAGAGGATCTGGCTGATCCGATACTCGACGCTCAGAGGAAATATGACTGCTACTGTCATTATTGGTGTTGGAACTTTGCGCTGGCTACTGAAGATAAGAACGGAGCGTTTATGGGAATTCCTCGAGTGCTGTGAAGTCAGTTCTGGAATCAGTTTAACTCAAGAATAGTAAACCATATCATTACTACACTGTGCTTTTCTTTCAGACCCTATAAGAAACTTGGTCTTTACCGTTTAAAAAAAAAAAAGGCACACCAGCACAGTTTGTGTCGACTTCATCATTAATGCGGCCATAAAGGATCAAGAAAAACCCTTCCAATCCCATCCCACCGCTACCCCATCCTCCCACCGAGCAGCATTTTTAAAAGTGGCAAATACGGGGTATTAAAGAGAGAATATGTCGTAATGCAGGGCTGTTGTACTAAGTTTAATTAATGCGCAAAAGGGGGGGGGGGGGGGGGGGGGGGGGGGGGGGGGGGGGGGGGGGGGCATGTTTAAAAGTATAGGGATCATCGCGGGCCAGAGGACCGATTCCAGCCAGGGTAGTAAAATGGCAGATGCAATTCAGTTGCCAATATTTCGCAGACCGTTGATAGGCCTCTGTAGATCATACTCGCCCCGCGGGCCTTCAGCTGATAGCACTTCCGCAATGTCATAGTTATGTTCTGGTTGTGGTTATACCTTTGCCAAATGTGTAGATTGTATATAGGATAAACAATGGCGAATTAACTGTTTATTATTAGCAATGTTACGCCTTCGCTTCGCTTTGCAGTCTCGCCACGGGTGATATACATCACTGGATTATGAAAGAATGCGACTAAATGAATATTCTATTCGATAAAAATATTCATAAACCACTCTGGCCATGACATCAATCATTTCGGATTTTAAGAAGCTGTTAATGTTGAGAGGTCGCCCCTAGGTATTGGATTAGGGCTTAGTTTCGCAAAAGTGGGCAATAATGCAACTCGGGTGGCGCTGAAAGGAGGCGGTAACAGCAACGGGTATAATTACTGAGGTGGGGGAAAAGGGGGGGGGGGAGGCTAACTTAATCTCGTAAGGATTTTCCGGAAAGTCAAATATTATAGAGGACGGGGTAGGGTTAGTGTTAACGGTGTTCATTTCAAACCCTAACACCCCAATGTTATTGGACTTTCCCGGGAACTCCCCAAGAAATCTTGGAGTCCTCGAGATGTAATAAACTAAAAGAAAAGAGCCGGGAGGTGGGGGGTGCGTTGAAATGAATCTGAAGTGTGGTAGTAGCCTAAGATGCTGTGAACAAAGGAATAAAAGTAAGATGGTGGTTAATGTTTTGTTTTTGAAATAAGTGTTGGTCGTTAGTCTCACTCCCCTTTCCCCCCCTTCCCCTCTCTTTTTGTCTTTTCGTGTTTGTTTTGCATTTATTTCTTGTATCCACATGTCTATACAACCCTATAACAAATATCATTGTTTCAATCACTCATTCATACAACCCTATAACGAATATCATTGTTTCAATCACTCATTCATACAACCCTATAACAAATATCATTGTTTCAATCACTCATTCATACAACCTTATAACAAAAATCATTGTTTCAATCACTCATTCATACAACCCTATAACAAATATCATTGTTTCAATCACTCATTCATACAACCCTATAACAAATATCATTGTTTCAATCACTCATTCATACAACCCTATAACAAATATCATTGTTTCAATCACTCATTCATACAACTCTTTAACAAATATCATTGTTTCAATCACTCATTCATACAACTCTTTAACAAATATCATTGTTTCAATCACTCATTCATACAACCGTATAACAAATATCATTGTTTAAATCACTCATTCATACAACCCTAAAACAAACATCATTGTTTCAATCACTCATTCATACAACCCTATAACAAACATCATTGTTTCAATCACTCATTCATACAACTCTTTAACAAATATCATTGTCTCAATCACTCATTCATAAAACCCTATAACAAATATCATTGTTTCAATCACTCATTCATACAACCCTATAACAAATATCATTGTATCAATCACTCATTCATACAACCGTTTAACAAATATCATTGTTTCAATCACTCATTTATACAACCCTTTAACAAATATCATTGTTTCAGTCACTCATTCATACAACCCTATAACAAATATCATTGTTTCAGTCACTCATTCATACAACCCTATAACAAATATCATTGTTTCAATCACTCATTCATACAACCCTTTAACAAATATCATTGTTTCAATCACTCATTCATACAACCGTTTTACAAATATCATTGTTTCAATCACTCATTCATACAACTCTTTAACAAATATTGTTTCAATCACTCATTTATACAGCCCTTTAACAAATATCATTGTTTCAGTCACTCATTCATACAACCCTATAACAAATATCATTGTTTCAGTCACTCATTCATACAACCCTTTAACAAATATCATTGTTTCAGTCACTCATTCGTACAACCCTATAACAAATATCATTGTTTCAGTCACTCATTCATACAACTCTTTAACAAATATCATTGTTTCAGTCACTCATTCATACAACCCTATAACAAATATCATTGTTTCAATCACTCATTCATACAACCTTTTAACAAATATCATTGTTTCAGTCACTCATTCATACAACCCTATAACAAATATCATTGTTTCAATCACTCATTCATACAACCCTTTAACAAATATCATTGTTTCAGTCACTCATTCATACAACCCTATAACAAATATCATTGTTTCAATCACTCATTCATACAACCCTTTAACAAATATCATTGTTTCAGTCACTCATTCGTTCACAGAACTCTTTATCTAGGATCTTGTTTAAATTTACTCATCAGGCTCCACACATGCCATATTCAGCAATATGAACCCCACTGCTCCAATGGCAGCGACATACATGAATGGATGGAGAAAGTGAAAGAAACAATATTCGTGGGAATATTAGCAAATTTAATTAAATTCATCAGCTGTTCTACGACTATGACTGATCTGAATTTGGAATCAGTGTGTGGTAAGTACATTTCCATTGCCTGATTCATAGTCCCACGACTTTTAGGCTTATCGGGTATATGGGAAAAGTGCCCATATTTTTACAGACCATCGGCACTCGGTGGGTAATGTGGTCAGCATTACGCCAGCCGTCTCTACTTCACCATGACAGCCATCCTGGTACCCATTTTAGGTTGGGTCGAACTGCGACGCCCCATACCATGATAAAAATGTGTGTGGTGCTATCGATCTGAATTTGAACTATGTATTCCTATTGCTTGATTCCTAGTCCCAAACAACGTGTGTTGTGTCAGTATTCTGAATTTGGACTGGTATGTGGTGAATACATTCCTACTGCTTAACTCATAGTCCCAAACAACGTGTGTGGTGTCACTGATCTAAATTTGGACTCAGTGTGTAGTAAGTGATCAAGTTTAGAAAAAGAGAAACTCAAAATAAAATCGTAGCAGTAACACTCAAGGCACACGAATAAGCCCGGCACTCAAACAGCTAATAAATGCACGATTGGTGACAACTTTGTGCTCTCAGTGTCAGACCTAGACCGTCCTAGAAAAACATAAGCGCAAAATTAATACATGTGAGATGACACGCTTGAAATTAAGCGGCAAAAAAAAAACAAAAAAGAGGATAGAGTTACCAAGACAGAATTAATAACACTGGAAGGCACAGTGCATGTAAATGATTTCATAGACTATTTAAGAATCAAATGGTTTGGTCATCTGGTCACAATGGAAGAAAATCAGACAGCAGCTTGAGCCTAATGCGTAAAAACAGCATGGTAGAAGTCACAAAGTTGATCAAGAAAGAGATGGGTGGAGGGAGTACAAAAAAGACGCTTTAAATTATAAATATGACATTAACACAGGCTAAACACATTAGCAACAGTTGGGAAACTACATCTCTAACGCCTTTCACCAATGTTTATGGTATAAACAATGGTTGAAAAGAAAAAGTAGATAGGGTACTAATCAAGGAAATCACCCCACCTGCTCAGGCACGAGATTTCGTGGCTGTTCCCACAGGCTGTAATATGTTCTAGGGGTTTCAAGTGTTGCTTGTTTTGAACGCTTCCAGCACATCCATCACCGACGACAGCCACATCCATCGAGCGTAGAAATACAAAAACATCATTGATTCGATATTCACGAGCCATCACGCCTTCGGAACTTCCCCCAGCTTTACATCTTCCTTGTATACAGGCGCCTGAGCAGCTCACAACAACAACACATTTCAGAAAAGATAGTCTTTCACAGAAATGACATTTACGACAAGAAAGCTGTGCAGTTTCATATGTGATACGAACGCGAGCCAGTTTTCGCCACGGTGTGTATAGACGGGGAAGGAAGGTATCTCATAACACCCCTAGAACATTGGACAACCCATGGGAAACGGTCATAAAATCTCGCGCCCGAGTGAGATGAGCTGAATTCCGAGGTTAGTACCCCAAAAAAAGTACAGTATGAGGATTCTTAAGACCTGACTCACAGTCCTAAACAACGCGTAGTGTGTGCCGGCTCTTACTATTGACTTCCAAAAATCGTACAATGCAAAGCAAAGCCGGCCGGCGTAATGGTGACCATGTCATCAGTGGAGTGCTCATTGGTCTAGCAACATATACCGAGTACATATCTATATGAACTGCCGCGATGTAGTGGCTGTACACTCGCCTTTGTATCCGAGAGTCATGGGTTCTAATCCGAATGAAGCTAGACTCTTCTTTTAAATGACCTTAGCTCGAACATCGACCCAGTCTTAAACAGGTACCAGGTGCTGTTATGGGAAGTAAAGGCGGCTGGTGTAATGCTGACCATATTACCCACGGAAACCGATGGGTCTATATAAGATAGGTCTAGCACAACATCCTCAATACGCTTAATGGCTTAGTTATTTGCTATGTGAGTGTGTATATATATATATATATATATATATATATATATATATATATATATATATATATATATATATATATGAGTGTGTGTATAATTACGCGTACAACTAGGCGTATATCCTCAGAGCTCCCTCAACAGACAATCTTTAAGAGGGCTGACCGCTCCTCACCCCTTTGTTTTCCAATTTTCTTTGGTCTTTTCCATTTGTGCCCGCGAGCGCGCGCGTATGTGCAAGGGTGTTGGTGCGTGTTACAATTACAATGGTATAAGTAATTATGACCGCTGCTATTTCTTCATCAACAGACACCACGACAGCGCACAGAAGAGCTACAACCGCAAGACCGGCACCCTTCACTGCAGCCGCGACAACAACTCCACCCACGACGCCAGCGACCAACACAACCGCAATGATCATCACGGTCAGCATCGTTGGCGCCAATATTTTGCTAGCATTTAGCGTTTGCACGTTCATCTTGTGCAAGAGAAGACAGATCAATGTGAACTATGAGCGAGAGAAAAGACAAATACAAGCCGTCTCTGAGGCAACAAGACATGGCAGAATTCACTCTAACAACTTACATGAAGAAGACCGTCACGCTACAAGTGTAAAAACAATAGCATAGTTAGGGGCTTTATTAATATCCTACCCCAAACAGGGAAAATCCACGGGTCATGGAACAGTCTAATATTTCAGAGCGTGATAGTTAAGCTGCATGCAGTCATGGGACCGAGGCTGCACTCTCTCGTGGGGCATAGGTGGATTGGGGTTAGGGCCAGCTCTAGATATTTTGGCGTCGTTAAAAGCACCATAAAGCCAGGAAACCTAGTCTTACCACCCTCTAATAATGTTGGACTGTTCTGTGACGTCGTCTAGGGTAAGATATTAATAAAGAACCTATTATGAAGCACCTATAGTTATTCTGTAAATTTTGTATTCGTTTTGTACGGCTCCGGTTTAGACGTAAACTGAATTATGTCGTTTTTTTTTATCTTGATCCTCTGGTACCTTGCGGTGTTAAGGCGAAGTATAATTTACGGGAAACAATCCTTTTGTGCGCTTCCTAAATGGGGATACCCAGGGACTCTGTTGCTCCCTCTGTCCATAATTTGCAGGGTCGGCTTCTTCGCTTTCGGCAAGGTCTGTAGATAATTGCTTGTTGTGGTGAAATGAGTGAATGCTTGTAACAATTTCATGATAATCGTGTGCTAGATTTCGACTTTTTTAAAATGACAAAACGTTTTCCTGACCTTCTTACCATGGTAGTAGAGTGGCAATGGGAGACCAATGCTCTTTAACTATAATAGTTGCACTAGAAGACATCGTGCTCTTTAACTATGTTAGTTGCACTGGAAGACATCGTTCTCTTTAACTATGTTAGTTGCACTGGAAGACATCGGGCTCTTTAACTATGTTAGTCGCGCTGGAAGACATCGTGCTCTTTAACAATGTTAGTCGCGCTGGAAGACATCGTTCTCTTCAACTATGTTAGTCGCGCTGGAAAACATCGTTCTCTTTAACTATGTTAGTTGCACTGGAAGACATCGTGCTCTTTAACTATGTTAGTTGCACTGGAAGACATCGTGCTCTTTAACTATGTTATTCGCACTAGAAGACATCGTGCTCTTTAACTATGTTATTCGCACTAGAAGACATCGTGCTCTTTAACTATGTTAGTCGCGCTGGAAGACATCGTTTTCTTTAACTATGTTAGTTGCACTGGAAGACATCGGGCTCTTTAACTATGTTAGTTGCTCTGGAAGACATCGGGCTCTTTAACTATGTTAGTCGCGCTGGAAGACATCGATCTCTTTAACTATGTTAGTTGCACTGGAAGACATTGTTCTCTTTAACTATGTTAGTTGCACTGGAAGACATCGTTCTCTTTAACTATGTTAGTTGCACTGTAAGACATCGGGCTCTTTAATTATGTTAGTTGCACTCTAAGACATCGTTCTCTTTAATTATGTTAGTTGCACTCTAAGACATCGTTCTCTTTAACTATGTTAGTTGCACTGGAAGACATTGTTCTCTTTAACTATGTTAGTTGCACTGGAAGACATCGTTCTCTTTAACTATGTTAGTTGCACTCTAAGACATCTTTCTCTTTAACTATGTTATTTGGACTCTAAGACATCGTTCTCTTTAACTATGTTAGTCGCACTGGAAGACATCGTGCTCTTTAACTATGTTAGTCGCACTCTGAGACATCGTTCTCTTTAACTATGTTAGTTGCACTCTAAGACATCGTTCTCTTTAACTATGTTAGTCGCACTGGAAGACATCGTGCTCTTTAACTATGTTAGTTGTACTCTAAGACATCGTTCTCTTTATGTTAGTTTCACTCTAAGACATCGTTCTCTTTAACTATGTTAGTTGCACTCTAAGACATCGTTCTCTTTACCTATGTTAGTTGCACTCTAATACATCGTTCTCTTTAACTATGTTAGTTGCACTCTAAGACATCGTTCTCTTTAACTATGTTAGTTGCACTCTAAGACGTTGTTCTCTTTAACTATGTTAGTTGCACTCTAAGACATCGTTCTCTTTAACTATGTTAGTTGCACTCTGTGACATCGTTCTCTTTAACTATTTTAGTTGCACTCTAAGACATCGTTCTCTTTAACTGTTAGTTGCACTCTAAGACATCGTTCTCTTTAACTATGTTAGTCGCACTGGAAGACATCGTGCTCTTTAACTATGTTAGTTGTACTCTAAGACATCGTTCTCTTTATGTTAGTTTCACTCTAAGACATCGTTCTCTTTAACTATGTTAGTTGCACTCTAAGACATCGTTCTCTTTACCTATGTTAGTTGCACTCTAATACATCGTTCTCTTTAACTATGTTAGTTGCACTCTAAGACATCGTTCTCTTTAACTATGTTAGTTGCACTCTAAGACGTTGTTCTCTTTAACTATGTTAGTTGCACTCTAAGACATCGTTCTCTTTAACTATGTTAGTTGCACTCTGTGACATCGTTCTCTTTAACTATTTTAGTTGCACTCTAAGACATCGTTCTCTTTAACTGTTAGTTGCACTCTAAGACATCTTTCTCTTTAACTATGTTAGTTGCACTCTAAGACATCGTTCTCTTTAACTATGTTAGTTGCACTCTAAGACATTGTTCTCTTTAACTATGTTAGTTGCACTCTAAGACATCGTTCTCTTTAACTATGTTAGTTGCACTCTAAGACATCGTTCTCTTTAACTATCTTAGTTGCACTCTAAGACATCGTTCTCTTTAACTATGTTAGTCGCGCTGGAAGACATCGTTCTCTTTAACTAGTTAGTTGCACTGGAAGACATCGTTCTCTTTAACTATGTTAGTTGCACTCTAAGACATCGTGCTCTTTAACTATGTTAGTCGCACTGGAAGACATCGTGCTCTTTAACTTTGTTAGTCGCACGGAAAGATATCGTGCAACCTCCACGTTATGCTGCCAAAGACAACACTGATTGCTCACTGACTTATTCGCTCCTCTGCTGCCCTGGCGAGTGTGTGCCAGAGAGATCGTGAGAATCCTCCGTCAGCAGCAGTAGTAATGGTCACTTACACTTTCCATTGCCAAAGAAAAAAAATGCCTTGTTTTAATATTTATTTTTACTGTTTACTTGTTTACGCCTTCTGGTGTATTGGTCCAAGTCCACGTCCTTTTGAGAACAAAATGTAAAAGGTCGACCACGTTCAGACTGCTGCTAGCTAGCCGAGGCTGCTAACAGTCTTCGCCTATATTTGTGGTCTAGGTTATTTGCGTCACTTTCGTGACTAAATTCGAGTATTTACGCCATTTCTGGGCTTGATGCTTGCATCCGATTCAGACCGCTCGTCCTGCAAACTGTTGTTACTTGTGCATGTCTTTCCTCTTATTACTTGGTGTTTCCAGTTTGTTTTGTCTCCCTGTGATTTGGCCAGGCGTATTTCGTATACCCCAGTCCTAAATTGGTAGTAAAGTCATGAAAATAAAGGCGGCCGGCAGGATGCCGACCACATCACTTCCCGACTATCGATTGGCCTAAAAACCTTTAAACCTATATTTTATAGATCGATCGGCAGTCAGGAAGTGATGTAGTTGGCGTCATTGTGTGTTTTATTCATCATTTCTTGCAATATCAGCTCTACTGCAGTCACACCCTATTTACGTCATCACTTCAAATAAGATACAGGCTAGTGCCTCACAGTCTGCAGGATGTAACAAATTCATACTTTTTCTCAAATACAGTTTTCTTTTAATATATTTAAAATTTATCAGATGTGTTAAATTGTTAAATGAAAGCATTTTTTTTTTTAAATATCCAGAAACCATGAGTTGAAAACCCTTTGGCTCGGTACTATGGATACCGCAACCCTTCGGCCTTGATTCAATTAAATGTACCGTAAATCTGGGAGAAATGGGGCTTTTCTGCCTACCCCCGGGAGTGAACCCGGACCACAGGGAGTTCGTCACCCGGCCGCCACGAAAGTCAGGTTTAACCAACTACGTTAGAGAGCCGGGCACGATAGCTTTTTAAAGGATTGTATATTTTCTGTGATTCTGCACACACAAACTCTGTGTTATTTTTTTTTTTTTTTTTCAATATAACATTCATTCATTCAGTAGCATGTCCCTCGCGGAACCTCGCTGCCATAACCACCCTCCGGAAAACCTTCCTATCCTGAGCAAGATGTCCTGCGTCCGATACACCCATCTGGAGATCATCTGCCACATCCTGCACCCATCTTCTCCTTGGCCTTCCTCTTCCTCTCTTCCCAGGCATATACCCCTCCATTATTGTTCTCTCTAGACTTCCATGACGTTTCAAGTGACCAAAATATTTCAATTTTCTTTGTTTTATTGTCTTTACTAGCCAACCCTCTTCAATATTCAGCTCTTGAAGTATGGATGCATTTGTTCTTTTCTTTACCCAAGATATTCTTAGAACCTGTCTGTAACATTTATATTCAAATGCATTTATGCGCTGTTCCGCTTGTTTAGTAATTGTCCAGGTCTCACAGGCGTATGTTGCAATGGGAAAGATGCATGCTCTTAAAAATCTGACCTTTGTAATTCTATCTGTACAATTCCATAATTTATTCAGTTGCTTTAGTCTCTGAAGAGCAATTGATAGTCGCCGTTTAATTTCTTTCATTGTGTCACCATTGTTGGTAACCAGTGACCCAAGATATTCGAAATTTTCCACCACTTCCAATCTTTCCTCATTAACATATATTTCTTTCTCCATGGCGGTTTTGTTTGTATGCATTATCTTTGTTTTTGCTATGTTAAGAAATAAGTTATGATTTTCACTATTTCTTTGGAGTGAGGTTAATAAATTTTCTTAACCATTTTGTGATGTTGATAGTAATACTGTATCATCAGCATAACGAATTTCTGGTATTTCATGACCACCGATGTTTAGGGCATCATATTGTTCCTTGTTTATATCATCTCTTACATTTTTCATTATATTTTTGGCGTACAGGTTGAACAAATACGGTGACAGCAGACATCCCTGACGGACTCCTTGCTTGATGCCAAACCAGTCTGATGTCTCTCCATCTATTCTGACTGCTGCTTGTTGGTCTTGATAGAGCATTTTAATGAGCTGCACTATATGTGATGGAAAG